ATGCATCTCTAGGGTATGTGCTCTCGTCGTAAACTTTACAGGATATAGCGCTCCTCGCCAACGTCAAGGAAATTATTAATGCAATTTTAAGTACTTAATTTAACACGAACTCAGTTATGGAGAAAAAATCGTCAGGATACCGGCATGTCCGAGAAATAAAATTATGTGAAACATGTGAAGTCTGCAACATGAATTATAACAGTGCGTCAAACTAATAGTATTCCATAACCCTCTCGGTAAAGATAGGTGACCTGTGCCTTAAGACGTACATTATACGAGTAGGCTTTATAACTTCACTTGTACTTTACGTGTCTCATCCGGACGGATATCAGGTCTCCGTCGACGCCCCTCTTGGCTCTTAAGACCCGATCCGAAGTATGGTGCCACTTACACTCACATTGCGGTTCCGTTCTACATGTTGCCGCCATGTTTGGAACTATGGCTCGTACGATTGGGACAGGATGCGGTTATTTTTCTTTTTGTCCCGAACTCATGGAGGACAGCTTTAGAGCAACTGACCCTTAAAAAAGGAGATCGCTCAGATCACTTCGTCAATGTGTCAAATGTCGGCGGCACAGCCCTGATCAAAACTATCAACTTATGGGAGATTCACCCTCAGCAAGATCTAATCCTTTTTTTTTCTAAATTATTTTCATACAGGCGTTGATTATAGCGGCTTTATATCCGTGAAGGCCAACAAGGGTCGTGGTATCAAGACTACAAAGGCATATATCGTAGTTTTCGTTTGTATGGCCACAAAATCCGTATATCTGGAACTGGCATCAGATTTAATGGCATCAGCGTTTTTAGCAACTTTACGCCGCATGGCAATAACACGACTAACTCTCGGTCACAGTGATCAAGACCGCAATTTCATAGGAACTAACAATATTTTCAAAGAGAGTAGTTAGCGATTCAAGAAATATTCATCCAAAACTTTATGTCGGAAGTTGCTAGTTTGGGAATGGAATGTCACTTTAATATTTTTTATCGCTTTGCCATCAACAGGCGGCTTATGGGAAGCTAGGGTTAAGAGCTCAAAAACAAAAACATCTTAAGCGAGTAGTAGATAAACAAGCGCTTAATTTTGAAGATTACAGCGCCCTACTTTCTCAACAGGAGGGTTGTCTAAACTAAAGACCTCTATGTGCATTAACCGAAGATCCTAATGACTTAGACGTTATTACACCTGCCCGCTTTCTTTCAAGCGGTCCTACGTAGAACGTCTATGATACCGAATGTAATGTCAGTATCAATGTGTCATGCAAATGACTTGTCGTAAAAGAGTGCGCATGTGTTTAAGTAAAATAGAAGCACATGGCCTGGGCTCAGATCTGTATACCCAATTCCGAACCAGTGTGCATAGACTAGTCTTTTATAAAAAAATTGTTTAATCACCTTATACATTAATTTACTAACCAGATTATCATTTGCACGATAGATAACAATGGTATCACCTTTTAATTCGATTATACCACACTAACATCCGTCATATCTTCATATCTCCACTAAACTCATCTTTGCTACCAAGGAATATATACGAGCATGTAATGCAATATACAATTGTAAGGTGATCATTTCACAACTTTCCCTCTTTTACATATTTCCGCGACAAATGTATTTTAAAGTCAGTTCGCTTATATCCATCCACGTAGCATCGCATACGCGTAGTCATTATCAGTAGGTCTAACCTTTTATTTTGTAAACTTATCTACAATATATTTTTAACAAACTTATAACGTTACAAATGTATCACCTTCTCAATGTCAGTACTACCTCGAACATAAGTCCTTCGTGTCGGATTTATCAAACTTAACAAAAATTTTTACGAGCACGTAATGCAACGTACAATTATCAAGTCATCATTTCACAACTTGACTTATGGTGTGTTCGGGGTAGTAAACATACAAACACCACAGAATAAATAATAGTATTACGTCAAGAAGTTGCACTCTTTTGATGTTCACTGCTTGCCGACGTTATAATAGCCTACATAAATATTATTAATTTGATAAATCAGGCACGTAATTAAAACGAATGTATGTATTAATTTGCATCTTTTCCCCTTCCTATATCACGGCGGACTTTTCGTGATTACTAATGGGTTGTCAATAAAGAATAAAAAAATACATTGCGAAAGGGTAAGAAAGTTACTTAGGTAAGAAAACTATTCTGACTATGATCAAATAACCATATTTTCGCTTTTGTGTGAATTCTGTGGCGCTCAAAGTACGCAACATGCAACGCCGTTTGTCGCGAATCGCGATGCTTCGTTTGGAAGAAATAGATAGGCAGTATAAACAACAAATAAACCCGAAATACTATTCCTAAATAAAATGTTATCGTATTCTACTGAGTTAAAAATCTCGTAAACAAAGTTTTAATTTCAGTATTTTATGTTATTACCAGTATAGGTATGTAGGTAAATAGGTTTGGATAGCGAAGTAAATCTCCACTAAATTATGTAACAAAGTACTTAAGTATTACTTCTGAAGTTAAATTATTACCCAATTCTTTTTTTTAAATAAGTACTTACCTAACAAAAAATAAGTAAATATGAAATAAATTAAGCTTTCATTATCCTTTGCTAACTTAAAAAATGATATACAAGGGCGATACTGAAAGGTTTTAGAACTGGCCACTTGTCAACGATATATAATTAAACGATAAATAATTATGTTCAAATTTTGAAAATGGCAATCTTTTCCAATATTATTATGTATGTACTTCATTAATTTGCATGAATCTAATGCGAGAAAAATTTTCGTACGATGATTTTTATGACTTTCGATATAATTTAAATCAATAATAAAGTTATGATAGACTTTGATTGACCTTTCACGATGAAGCTCCATCACGTGGCACTGTTTACAACTGGTTTAATGAGTTTAAAAGTGGTCATACTAATCCCACGAATGATCTGCGTGAGGGACGGCCTTCTACGGCGACGACTGAAGATAAAATCAGTGTTGTGCGGCGTATGATAGAGTGACAAAAGAGTGACTTATCAGCAGATTCGGACTATTGGTGGTCTGCACAAAATCCTCCTTGAACATTTAGCGGTCGGGAAGCTTTGTGCCCGGTGGATACCTCATAATTTGACAGAGGCCCAATAACTCCGTCTTGTTGATTGGTGTCGTGGAATGGTTCAAAGATTTAACGGAGGTAACTCAAATGCTGTGTTCAATATACTTATAGGTGACGAAAGCTGGATTTATTGTTATGATCCTGAAACTAAGAGACACTCCGCTGTCTGGGTGTTTCCTTCCGAGGAGTTGGCAACTAAAGTGAAGAGAGGTTGAAGCATGGGAAAAAACATTATGACCTCGTTCTTCGGAAAGACAGGTCATTACGCAACAACATTAGCTAAAACATTGCAGCTACATTATGGTTGTAGCACGAATGGATTGTCTAGATCGGGGAAGAACCACGCTCTCACAGAATACCAGCGTAAAATAGCAGCTTAATCCGGAGACAAAAAAGTGAAAAAGTCACGGGAAGCGAGGCATTCTATCTTAGTCGTCAGGGGTGACAACGCATCTGCGTTTTGATTCTTAATCGAGGATAAATGTAGATATCTATGGGCACATCATCCACTTACCATCAGGTGGACTGTGTGCTCATTTGTCATCCTTAATCTATAAAAAAATCGAATAAAACAGTTACTGAAGAGTGTTATACTAACAATTGTTTGCCACTTGTCTTGAAAAAATTTCGGGAGAAACAACCTCGCAGTAGGATCCTCCTTCACCACGACAACACGACAAGCAAACAATCGACTACTTAGCGACGTCAAACGTAATTCCACGCCTGACGTCGCCAAGTAGTCGATTGTTTGCTTGGCGTGTTGTCTCTCTCGGTCACCCGTCATGTAGACCCAGACCTCGCACCTTGCGATTTTTATTTATTTCCGATAATAAATAAAAAACTTCGTTGAAAACGTTTTATGGACGCAGAGGAAGCAGTGGCTGCATTTCAAAATGTCGTCGAAGAGACCCCTAGGACGAGCGAACAAAGTACTTTTCTCAGTGGTTCCATCGGATGCGGATATATATATATATATATATATATATATATATATATATATATATATATACCCTTTTCGACGACCCTTTGTCATGTCCTATTAAAAATCCCTAAATTCGCAAAAAAATGTGGCATGGGCAAAAAAACTATCCTATCTCTCAACTTGGACCAAACTGCACACGGTGTGCAAATTTGATTAAAACGATTAAGTAGTTTAGGAGTCCATCGCGGACAAACAACGTGACACGTAATTTATATATATATATATATATATATATATATATGTATATGTATATAGTTTCTATTACAAATATATTTTTGATTATTAGATTAGTGGCACTATTATTAAATATAACTAATGTTATGAAACCAATTGAATAAAAATAAAAGAAAATTCTTCATTGTTTTAACTCCATTTATTATTTTTGTACAAACTTTAAATAATACATTTATATCAAAATAAATTATTCGCAGTACAATCGAACGTACGCATACACCAATAAATATTACATGGCAAGATATTTTACAAAATATTTGGTAATGCTCAATGATTTCTACGCTAGTAATTTATAAGTCAATGGTATTGGTTTTAATAATTATTATATCACGAAACTTACTTACTATTCTCTCACTTAACAATAACGTATTATGCAAATTTAAATAAAACTAGTTTTATGGATTATATCCTCCCCCCTTACCATGGGTGCTATAAAGTGCTCGAAACGTCAGGAATATAAAATAAGTTAATATACGCGATATAATCAGTTAAACTAGTATTATTTAAAGGTAGAGTGCCTAATCATAAGAAATCATTAGTATTATGCAGACTTTTAAAATTTATCACAAATCTGGTCACAGTCCATTAAATAAAGCTAAGGACTACGCTATTGTGACTACTTAACCTTAATACCCACTTTTATTAATCTTATAACTTAAAGCAGAGTCCAAACCCAAATCATTATTGTCAGCTAGATTCATTCTTCTTCTTTGGAACTTATGACTTTTGCAACCTTCTTCTCATCCGTATGAAGATCACGGTCGTCCCAACCCCATAAACTATGACTTCCATCACCCGTCCTCTTTACTCTCTTTTCGATTATGTCACTTGATACAGTCTTCAAATCATAAGCCCACCCGATTTTAGCCATAGTATCAATAAATAATTTAGTAAAGTTCAGAGAATAATTTCCTAATTCTGCGGTTTTGTAGTCCCATGGGAAAGTATGATGATAGTTATGGAAGCCTTCTCCTAGTACGACTAAAGATACAGGTTTGGTCTCAACTGGATTAATGTGTCTGTCATAGGGCTTAGAACCCCATAAATGGGCTACGGAGTTAACAAACCAGGTTACGTTTAAAACGTACACATAGCGGAATATAGCACACACGAAGAACGAATTCCACAAAGTTTCACCCCAAAGTGTTGGAATGTATGTAGGTAGAACAAAGCAAGCTAACGGCATGAGAGTCAAATAGTACCTGGAACAAAAGAATTCGTTACTACTTGTGAATCTTTTTTCGACAATTTACTGTATAGACAACATTTTAATGAATAGTATTTCTATATATTTTATAGAAACTACTCAATTTTCTTCAACAAATATTAGTTAGTTATATTTTATAGTACAAGGATGACAAACGATCACACAGTCCACCTGATGGTAAGTGGTTACTGTGGTCCATAGACATCTACATCTATCCTCGATTACGAATCAAAATGCAGATGCGTTGTCACACGTACGACTAAGATGGAATGCCTCAATAAAATGGATCTCCGGTTTTCTGCACTCACCATACGAATAACAACAGCATTAAGCTGCTATTTGACGCTTGTATTCTGTGAGAGCGTGGTCCTTCACCGGTCGAGCCGACCCATTCGTATTACAACTATACTACTAATATAGCTGCAGCATGGCTCTACCACGTTAAATGACAATTTATATGATTGTTTTAAAATTTCAATCAAATTCAGACAGCAGTGGCAGCCCCAGGACTAAGCACTCGCTAAATTTCATAGTGCGCAGCTGTTCAGGTTCAAAGTATGCCGGCATCAATAAAATTGTTAACTGCAACTTTAAGTACTGTTTTAACACGTACTCAGCGGTAAATTATCGTAAGAAAACTTTCAAGTGCGAAAAAAATGTTGTCGGTCACCAAGCATTGTGGCACTTTCTTGCGTTAAAACACATAAAAATTAGAGGGCAAGGAAGGTTTAAGGGCAAGTAGCTTTAGGGCAAGGAAAGCCTGTTTCCAGAAAGGGGACTTATAAGCTCTTTTTTTTTGTTTTATTTTTTTCTAAAAAAACATTACCTACACACTAAGATTTTCTTCTGTGTGGTGGAAGTAGCAGGCAGATAATTTTACAAGAACAAACATCCAGGCCCGGAATTTATTATTTACTCTTAATTCTCTGCCGAATGAACTTAAAACTGAGACGGCAGCCCCATCTTGAAAAATTAAGTCTTAGTAGCTATTCAACGAGAAAAGCCAGATATTTTGCACAACATAAAAAAGAGCAGTTCTTGGCAGCATAGTTTTAATTTTAGTTCTTTTTTATTTATATAAATATAAATACATATTTATATTTATTATTTTATTAATATCTTAATAAATTATTTTTATTGATTGTTTAAATAAATTATAACCAAGTAAAATATAAAAATTAAACAATTGGACTTTTTATTTACATAACTGTAATTTTTTTGTGAAATTAGTTAATGGAAATTAATATTGAAAGAACTGATTCTCCAATCATGAGATAAGAGTTAATCATAGAATAAACGCAACATGAAAACGCAAGAAGGATTTATTTTGAACAAAACATATTTAAATAAACAATTATTCACCTAAGTGTTGTCACAACTAAGGGTTAACAAACAACCTTGTAGTTTCCGATAGGTAAAAATAACGTTACATATCAAGGCAGACTACTATCAAAAGCTTGGGTAAAACCGGCCTTGCTTTTTGCACATACTAAACATAAAACGTAGCAGTCAGTGAGCGCAGAGCCGATATTCTCTGGTAATGTTCTTCTGGTCTGGTAATACCCCTCATTACTATGAACTTTACTTCTATTTGAGTTCTAGTTGAATTAAAACACATTGAGAACTAAAGCAAAGAGTTGTAGGACTTCGAAAATCAATTGATGTTTTTATGACAGGATTAATTTACCAGGAATATAATAAAAAATAAACTCACTTCTTTTGAAAACGGAGTACGGGATCAGCCCAAAGATCGCCCATATCGAGTGTCTTGCCCTTAGCTTTTATTTGAGGGTGCTTTTTCACTAAGAGCCATCCAATGTGGGAGAAGAAAAAGCCACGTGTTGCGTTGTGGGGATCAGCGTCCGTTTCAGAATATTTGTGATGCATCCGGTGGTCTCGAGCCCAATCCAATACAGAGTCCTAAACACACAAAATTATAATATTGCGTTATTTATTCCACACAACCACATAATGTACGTACATTATTTATTTTATTTAAAGTTCTTTTATTAATATGTTAGAGAATTCATTAACCTATCAAGATCACACACACTCAGATATACTGGATGATTTTTTACCGTTTGAAAAAAAATCGTCTGTAACGGGTGAACGGGACAAAAGCCTATTGCACTGATATTTTACAATTTTTAATTTATTTTACATTTACATATACAATAAATACTACTCTGTATGTATGTACTCGGAAAAAAGATCTCAATCACAATTAAAACAAAGAGTAAAACAAGATCAGTGCTAAATTACATATTAAGCGACATATCATTATGCTTCATAATTATTGGCTTTTGTAATAATATTTAATTTACTTCTTCAGGCTTTCAAGCGTTCAGGCTTCTTTTGTTCTAAGGATTTCATCTGAGCTGTTACCGTACCTTCCCAACAACTCCCATGAAATCCTTGTCTGAATCTTTTCGGCCGTCAAACAGCAGGGGTTAATCCATTTGCTGAGTACCAGTTCTTAGTATTCCAGCATGACAAAGCATTTCTTTTTTTGCTCGAAAATAGTTCCAGCAACATTTACTACCAAGTGAACTGTAAGCTCATATGTTGCTCTAATCTTCTTTATAATATCGACGCTGGAAATGAAAAGTTACCAAGCGACATTTGGGTCGATATTGAGTTATTCTTTCATGCTCCTGCGATGAGTTTTATGAAGCTTAGTATTTTAAATTTCATAGATTTTTTGAAATTTTCAGCGACAAACCGACGAAAAATATAGTTATTTCAAAAAATTACGGTTAAGGCATTTTGTAGTCTACTGTATATGTCATTAGTAAATTCAACCTGTTTTTGGTGTAAAATATTTACCTAAGCTTACGAAAAAATAGCAATTTAGTTAAATCTTCCTGTCTAAATTTTTTTATTTTTGCAGCCTCTAATCTTTTTATATGTCCTTTAATATTAGTTATTTGTCATTTAGATATTTTTACTAGGTCCGACTAACGAAAAGATCATCATTTAGTGATAGTTTTCCCTCCTGTTAATTTGACGGTTAGATAAATGTGACCTGCCGTTCTCTAATATTTTTGGTGTTCGTTATTTTCATTTTGTAAAGCGTGAATATATATATATATATATATATATATATATATATATTATATATATATATATATATATATATATATATATATATATATACTATATATACTTAAGTATAACGCTATGTGATGTAAAAGGAGTTACTTCATTTTTTGTACATGTGCCAACCTCATCCATTTCTAAATATTACCTAATAAATCCCCGGGTAGTCAAGAAATTGAAAAAAAAACCAATCAAAATAGACAAAATTATATTCCGTGGATTAATGAGCAGCACGGAAATTACTGGTAGAGCGAGTATTTATTTATGTATAGAAGAATTATAACGGATGAGTAATAATTAGGTTTTATTAAAAGTCTGATTGTCTGGTAAATTAAAAACATGGGAATAATAAATAGTGATAACCCGATGTAATCTCCAGAATGTCATGTGAAGGACGTGGAAAATTTTAACGTAAGATATATTAATGTGACGACAAAATATTGATAGTTTTAGTTGTAACAAACGTTAGCAAACGCTAAGATATAACATTATTACGAAATATCTCTGTACTGATGAAAGTTAAATATCTATACTGATGAAGATCATTCCAAACGACATTGTGTTTATCGCGAGGTCAAGGTTAATAGTACGTTGATAACAGTGTTAAAGGTGAGTGAATAACGCATGCTGCCCCCGTGCACTTCTCAAATGAGTCGTGACCAAAAGAAATATATAGATTAAAAACTGATTATAATATGATGTGTAGTAATTTCCTACACATCGCCATCATTGTAAAATCCTTTATGGGTTACTGCTGACCTGATACTTCATTATTCATTTCACCACACTGGGAAAGCGAGTTGGTGAGCACGCAAAGTTAAAAACCTCGCTCTTGTGATGCTGATTTAACCTTCACCACAATATGTGTTTGGAAATGGTAAATGGGGCCCTACACTCTATGGTGAAGAGTCAGAATGTGTCAAAAAAGCCACGTATTCACAGTGCTGCGTTGGTCCCTACTTTAACGTATGGTAGTGAAAGTTGGGTGTGGCAGAAGAAGCACGAGAGTAGAAAATGCAAGAAATGGGTGTGGTGTTAGGGCTGAATCTGAACGACAGGGTGAGAAATTGTGTGATAAGAGAAGAGTGTGATTTGCAAGATGATGTTGCGACCAAGATTAAGAAAGGAATGCTTCGGTGGTTTGTTCATGTGGAAAGAATGAATGAGGAAAGAGTAACAAAGAAAATTTATGTTGCAGAAGTGAATGGCAGAATCGGGAAGGGACGTCCTAGGCGAAAAATTATTGACCAAATTAGCGATTTATTGAAAACGGACCAAATTCGGAGTACCCTTAACCGACGAGCATGTATGCGTAGGTATATGGATGTGAAGAAGGCGAGAGAGGTGTGTCAGGATCACGCCAAATGGAAGTCTGTAGTCTCTGCCTACCCCTCTGGGTGACAGGCGTGAGTATTTATGTATAATACATACATACATGAAATTTAGCGTTTTTGGATGGATTATCAACTATTGACTAAGTATGTTATTTGTTGCCTATAGCAGCTCAAGATATTGACCTCTGTTTAAAAAATGTAGAACGCACGTGCAAACTTTTTTCAACACTCGCTGATACTACTGAATTTTTGCAATTTTGAGTGCTCATTTGCTATGTGCTCGTGTAGAGTGAAAATAGTAAAAACATGCATGTCTGCTAACACGCATAGGGTCAGCACGGCGAACTATTTTTTGCCCTATTATCCTCGAGAGGAGGCCTGTGGGGAGTTGTGGAATATTGTGGACTGTTACTTCACTGGTTTGCGTTTTAGTAGATAATAAACTTTACTAATATAACTGCTACTCTACTTAATCTTTTTTAATAAATAAAAATAGATGTTTCTTCTATATTTATGCTTTGTCTCATAACAATTAACAATATAGATTAGTAATAATTTTATGGTATAAAATTGAAATTCGATAGCAGCAGTAACAGGAACATGATAAATGATATAGACACTGTCACTGTTTGAAAACAGTTCCTATCGAAACTTGTTGCGAGGTAATAGTATGTTATTTTTGTACTAGCTACTGAAACTGAATTTTAAAGTAACAGAATAAATAGAACAGGTTTCTAACTCTTTTGCGTACCCTTCAAACACCTAAAATCGTGGCAGCCGCCTTTGACTTTGTTGCCCGTCACCAGACTTATTATTTCCATTGTGGGGTAAACTAGATGGTTATGCCACTATTTGTCAGAAGCAATGAGGTTTTCCTGGAATTTTTCATAATCGCTTCTTATGACACCCACGGGACGAAATGGTAAAATTGTTTCTTTTATGCCTCAACCACTACTGTATTTGTATGAACCCTTAATACTAATGATGATTTTTAGTAGTTCTAGACGATTCCTACCGATTAAGTTCCTAATACTCATAAATCGCAGTGTTTCTGACGTCTGATGCTTAAAGCTACAGCCTATATATGTCCCGCTCCTGGGCACAGGCCTCCGCTTATTTCTGCAAGTAGATGCGCTGAGAGGGTTTTAGGGCAAGGAATTGTCAGACATGCTGACTCAATGCCTGTTGGCGAACTTCACATGTCTTCAAAATATTTTTTTCTCATTTCTCAGAGATGCAGGTTTTCCCACGATATTTTCTTTTACTGCCGAACACGTAGTAAATCAGCACTTAAATTTGCAAATAAAAATTTCACTGGTGCCGGCGGGGATCGAACCCGGTTTGCTCACATACTGTGTAATTTACAGCGAGCGCTAACCATCTGAGCTACCACGGCTTTCGACGCTTATAAGATCGTTATTCCATTTAATGTCAGCAGCCTCAAGTTCTTGGCAATTACTCAACACAGCCACGTCAAGTGTTTTTTTGGATGCGATCCTTAAACATGCCACCACACATCAAAATAGTAACGATGCGCGATTACGAATGATACAATCATTCCACTCATTTAAGTAAATTTTTTGAGGGGAAAAACAGTTTTGGGAAATGCTGTGGAGTGCGAATAGATGTATATGATAATCTTTCAAATGGAACCCTCTAAGAAATATTTTTTCTCACATTCTCAAACATGCAGGTCATCGTCGAGCACGTGGTGTCAGCATGGATCTAACCCGGGTTGTACTGTGAAATTTACAGCGAGCGCTTAACTTAGCTACAATGGCTCTCAAAATTAATTGTTAAGAAGAAACAATTATGCGATTATTACATCTTAAAGTTAATAGTTAAATCGAATATTTAACACAATCACATAAAATGAAGCCCGGTATATAGTATCTACTATGTGGTTTGAAGACTAACCTGAAAAGCCATTGTGTTAAAAACAGTCAGCATTATTCGTAAAGGCAATTTAGCCTTGTAAGATTTGTGTGCCCATAGCCTGTGTGCTCCTGCCGTGATGCCAAGACCAGATGATAGGTACAAAGCTATTGCTGTAAATAAAACGGAAAAATAATAATCGTAATAAAACTAAAAGCTATTCAGCAACTTATCGCGTAGTTTCTAAAGAAGTTAGGATTACTAACGAGCACGCAGTCCGCGCAACATATAGACGTTGCGGCCTATAGAAAAATCAAATAGTATGCTACAGTAAACAGGGTGTCCGATTCTCATCCGTAACTATACAAAATGCAGCAGCAATACGCTGCTATTAGAAAGCGTGTGCTTTCCCCTGCCGAGCCGCTCCATTCATTTTGCAGCCTAATACAGCTCCAAGGTGACTCTAGCACCATCACCCCCTAGTTTTCGCACCATGAGGCAAAGAGGAAAAGAAATGGCCCTGAGTTAACAGCGCCCCTTTAATGGAGCAGGGGTGCGAATAATCTCCGGGAGGAAAACCGGCGACGAGGCTTGCCACCCGTCACGTTCTGTCTCCCGAAGGGGCGAAAAGAGGATTGCGGAGGCCCGTCTAGCTACGCTGAATATATGTAGAGTAATGAATGATAAGATGGATGAAGTATGCGATATTATGTATGATAGAGGAATGTGTTATGTGTAAATGAGACGAAGCGAAAGGGAAAGGATGTCACTACACATGGCATATATACCACGTACTGGTCCGGTGTAGACGAGACCGAGCGGGTATGCCAGGGAGTCGGTATCATCCTTTCAGAAAGAATGGGTCAATGTGTGAAAGAGTATGAATGTGTAAGCCCGAGCCTGCTATGGATACGAATAAAAGTGGGCGAGATTTTAATGGAAGGGTTGGGGTGAGGAGGCTTGGCTATGAAAGGACACTGAGAACGTTTGGTAATGAAAGTAATAATGATAATGGTGAAAGCCTCCTCACCGTATGTGTGGAAAGGAATATTTTTGTGACGAACACTTTCTTTCGTCATAAGAATATTCACATGTATACTTGGGAAAGAGGTGATGATAGAAACATGATAGATTTCATAACTGTGGATGAAAGAATGAGGAGCGCAGTGGTGGATACAAGGGTTTACCGGGGGTCCAACTAGGGACGGACCACTACCTGGTCTTATGCCGAATTAGGGGTTTATTAGCGTTGGTGGCATCGGAGATGTGTCTACCATTGCGTTACAGCGTATAATAATTGAGAGGTTGCAAGATGAAGATGTGAAAGATAAGTTCAAATGTAGACTGAGACAAAATATAAGTAATTTGGATGAGTTGTGTGTGAATGAGTTAGACTTGGAAAATGTGTGACATAATGTTAAGAAAGGTTTAGTGGATGCAGCTACCGAAGTATGTGGTTTTAGTAAGAGAACGAATGAAAGGAAAGACGATACGTTATGGTGGGATGATGAGGTACGTATGGAAGTTGAAGCAAAGAAGAGAGCATGGCTAGATTTACTAGCGACTAAAGCTGGTAATTCTGGCGGTATGAATTATGAGATTGAAAGAAAAAAGGCAGAGTTTAAACGTCTAAATAAGAGAGTAAAAGAATTAGTTGAAAGGAAAAAGCAAGAAAGAACGGATAAAAATGATAAAAGAATATGGGATAACTTCCAAGCAAATATTAAAATGTTCTGGAAAGAAATACCAGGAGACATTCAGAACAGCCTAGATTGAATGCAATACGAAACCAGAATGTTTATCCTGAATGATGAAGTGTTGAGTCTAAAAAGATGGAAGGAATATTTTGAAAGCGTATTTATGAGTGAGGAGACGTGTGAACTAAATGAAATAGAAATTCCGAAAGAAGATGAAAGAGATAGGGAGATAAGTATAGATGAATTAATGAAAGCAATAAAGAGCATGAAAGTAGGTAAGGCAGCCGGATATGATAGAGTTTCACTCGAAATGCTAAGGGCTGAAGAGGAAGGGGTGGCAGGCCTGATGTACACCTTGTTTAATTTATGTTGGGAACTAAAGCGGGTACTGGGAGACTGGTGCAAAGCTGTGATAGTCCCAATATATAAGGGAAAAGGGTCACAGCAGGACTGTAAAATCTACCGTGGTATCAGCCTTCTTAGCATTGTGGGAAAACTGTATGCTAAGGTACTAATTGAAAGAGTTATGAAAGAAACTGATGAAAAAATTTGAGATGAAGAAACTGAGATGCAAACGGGATTTAGAAAGGGAATGGGGTGTACAGATCAAGTATTTTCCATGCGCATGATCGCGGAGAAATTTTTGGCGAAAAACCAAAAAGTTTTTTGTGCGTTCATGGACTTCGAAAAGGCTTATGACAGAGTGGACAGGGATGTGTTATAGCAAACGCTGAACTCATTTAGGTTGAGCGCTGGGTTGATACAGGCATTAAAGTCTCTGTATAGGGACTCGAGTGCTTGTGTTAGGATCAACGGGGCCTACTCGGACTGATTTGGCATCCATAAAGGTGTCAGACAGGGCTGTGTAGCTTCCCCGTGGCTGTTCAACCCTATTTATGGACAGTTGTCTGGAAAATTTGAAAGTTGAAAAAGGCGGGTTAAGAATGGGTGAGTTAACCATCAAATGCCTTTTGTACGCCGATAATCAAGTCATACTTGCGTCGTCGGCGGCCGAGTTGCAAATGATGGTTACATAAATGAACAGGTCATTAAAAGAAAGGGGATTGAAAGTGAACGCAAGTAAGACGAAAGTGATGGTTTTTGAAAGAGAAGAAAGCAAAACGGTATGTAAAATAAGAATAGAAGGAGAGTTAATTGAGCAAGTGGATGAGTTCGTATATTTGGCATGTGTATTCAGCAGGGATGGGAGATATAAGGATATTGAACGACGAATGAATGCAGGAAATAAAGTAAATGGGGCTCTGCACTCTATTGTGAAAAGTCAGAATGTGTCAAAAAAGGCACGTATGGCAATTCACAATGCTGCATTAGTACCTACTTTAACGTATGGTAGTGAAAGTTGGGTGTGGCAGAAGAAGAACGAGAGCAGAATAAATGCAGTAGAAATGCGGTCGCTAAGGAGTATGTTAGGGCTGAATCTGAGTGACAGGGTGAGAAAAATGATTAGATACAGTGTGATAAAAGAAGAGTGTGGTTTGCAAGATAATGCGATGACATGATGATAAGAAAGGAATGCTTCGGTTGTTTGGTCATGTAGAAAGAGTGACTGAGGAAAGACTGACAAAGCAAATATATATTGCAGACGTGAATGGAAGAGTCGAAAAGGGACGTCCCAGGCGAAAGTTTGTCGATCAAATTGGCGATATACTAAAAATGGGCCAAATTAAGAGTACTAAGGGTAAAACTTAATTAACTAACTAAATGGGGGTCATTGTAGAAGCGTGCTCGTCGCGACCCCTGGCAGCCCTTTTCAGGGCTGCAATTCTACACAGCTGCGCACCCATGCAAACGAGGGTTAGGGCGTCCCCCCAAGGCGACGCACACCAGCTCGTCCCCGTTGGTGTGGAATGCAGCGCGCAAAGCGGCGATGGGGACCGCCACCCGTCACGCACAGCCCGACACGGCGGAAGGTGGAGGACGGAGTGCAGAGTTGGCACGTGGAATGTTAGAGGGGGCATGAGAGATAAGACGAATGAGTTGATCGAAATAATGAAAGAAAGAGAATTAGATGTCGTGTGTATGTCGGAGACCAAACGGAAAGGCAGTGGTACTGAAGAGCTCCCTGGCGGGACGTTAGCTATATGGTCCGGAGTCCCGGAAAGCGAGAACGCCTGCCAGGGAGTGGGAGTGCTGTTTTCGTCCCGGTTGGTCGATCTTATGACTGAATACAAGGTTGTGAACTCAAGACTTCTCTGGGTTCGCTTCAAAATGGGACTGACGAAGTTATTCCTTTTGGCTGTTTATGCGCCGGTAGCTTCGTCGTTCAGGGCTGAGCTGGAGGAGTTTTGGGAGAATGTAAGAGAAGTTCTAGATTTGGTTAAATGGAAACGAAAGAACTGTTGTATGTGGTGATTTGAATGGATGGGTAGGTATCGCTCGACCAGGATACGAGTCGGTGCTTGGAAAGTTTGGCGATAAAAGGGTTAATGATGCTGGCAAGCTTATACTGGCTGTATGCAAGGAAAAGGGTCTTCTTGTGACAAACACTATGTTTAATCACAGGAAAATCCATATGTACACTAGAGAAAGAAAGAATGAGAGAAGTATGATTGATTTGTTCCTGGTGGACGACCGACTGCGAAAACAGGTGATGGATACACGAGTGTTCAGGGGTGCTGACCTGGGAACGGATCATTATCTAGTAATTACTAGATTTAGGGGTTTGTTCGCGGGTTGGCGCTACCGGACGGCAGTAACAGAACCACAGTCGGTCTGTCGCATCCGAAGCTGGAAGCTTCAGGAAGCGGATACTAGGGACAAATATCACACGAGGGTAGCCGAAAAGCTTGACACCATCGATGGCAGGAAAGAATGTGTGGAGAGAACATGGCAGAACCTTAGGGATGGAATGGTAAGTGCAGCGGAAGAAGTATGTGGTACGACAAAAAGAGGTAGTAGTAAAAGAAAAGATGCATGGTGGAATGATGAAGTGAGAGAAGCTGTAAAAAAGAAGAAAAAAGCATGGTTAGACTACTTGGCCTCTAGTAACGATGAGCATATGAGAGAGAAGATGAAAGAAAGATATAAGCTGCAGAAAGTTCATGCGAAAACATTGATTGAGGAAGTACGTGAAAGGTGTAGAATAGAAGCGGACGAGAGGTTGTCGCACAACTTTAGGGAAAACTCCAAACTCTTCTGGAAAGAGGGGGTCCCGGAGTGGTGCGACAGCCTTAAGAATGAACAAAGTGCTTTCGAGAACCAATGACGTCCTCTCAGAAAAATCGGACGTCATGCAGCGATGGAGTGAATTTTATAGAGAAATGTATGCGTGTCATGATCTTAGTGAAGGATCCGGGGGTGACGCCGTGACTGGCACGCCAGACATGGACCTCGATGACACTGAGGTCATAAGCATGGAAGAGATTGAACGTGCGATTCGAAGTTTGAAATGTGGTAAGGCTGCGGGACTAGACAGAGTTACTGCTGAAATGGTCAAGTACGGTGGGCCTCGCGTCTGGGACAGCTTCCATCTGCTGTGCAATTTGTGCTGGCGGACGGGAGATGTCCCGGATGATTGGCGATCTGCGGTCATTGTGCCTTTATATAAAGGTAAAGGTTCACATTTTGACTGCGGGTGCTATCGGGCGATCAGCTTGACCAGTTTAGCAAGTAAAGTTTACTCGAAGGTTTTGACACGTAGGATGCAAGAGAAATCGGAAAGATTCTTATGGGAGGCACAATGTGGATTTAGACCTGGAAGAGGATGCACGGATCAAATGTTTTCTCTCCGCATGATCATGGAGAAGCTTCTGAGTGTTAACCAGAAGATTTTCTGTGCTTTTGTGGATCTGGAGAAAGCATTTGGTAAGGTTATAAGAAAGAAAATGTGGGAACTGTTGCCGGGATATGGTGTGGATGGTCGATTGTTAAAGGGCTGTGCAGTCACTTTACTATGACTGTAAAGCCTGTGTGCGGTAGGGCATGACCTGTCACCCATGTTTAGCGTCCAAGCGGGCGTAAAACAGGGTTGTGTCATGTCTTCCTGGCTCTTCATACCTGTATCTCGACAGCTGTTTACAGAAGCTGAAAAATAGCTGTTTGGGTGTGAAATTGGGTGACATAAAAGTTAATTGTCTGCTGTATGCTGATGATGCAGTGCTTATTGCACCATCAGAAGCAGAACTGCAGGCATTAGTCACGTGTATGAAAGAGGAATGTGAAATTAAAGGTCTCCGTTTGAATGCTAATAAAACTAAGGTTCTGGTATTTGAAAAGGACGAAGAGAGAACGAAATGTGAAATATGGGTAAATCAGGAATGTCTAGAACAGGTAAATGAAATTGTATACTTGGGGAGTGCTTTCAGCCGGGATGGAAGATGTGATTTAGATGTGGATAGGCGTGTCGCTGCCGGAAACAAAGTCAATGGTGCCCTGAATGCATTAGTAAAAAGGCAAGGCGTGGTGAAGAGTGCACGCCTTGCAATACATAATGCAGTGTTGGTACCGACTTTGTTATATGGCAGCGAAACCTGGGTATGCCAGAAGAAGCATAAAAGCAAGTTGAATGCAGTGGAGATGCGATCTCTTCGTAAAATGTGTGGCGTTACCTTAGCCGACCGAAAGCGAAACGAAGGGATTCGCAATATGGCAGGATTGAAAGATGACCTTATCACAAAAATTGATAGGGGCGTACTCCAATGGTTTGGGCACGTTGAACGAATGAGTGAAGACCGAATGGTAAAGAAAATATATAGAGCGAAAGTAAATATTAAAAGGTGTCTAGGTAGACCGAGACTAACTTTCGAAGACCATGTGAGCAAATTGCTCGAAGAGGGGAGGGTCAAGAGTACTCGGATACCTAGACGTGCATGTATGAAGAAGTTAATGAACCTGAAAGAAGCGAAAGAGGTATGTAAGGATCGTGACACTTGGCGATCTGTTCTCTCTGGCTACCCCGTTAGGGATTGTGCGTGAAGATAAGTAAGTAAAAAAGTAAGTAAGTAAACTTAATTTGGCCGACGAGCATGTATGCGTAGGTATATGGATGTGGAAGAGGCGAGAGAGGTATGTCAGGATCGTGCTAAATGGAAGTCTGTAGTCTCTGCTTACCCCTCTGGGTGACAGGCGTGAGTGTTTATGTTATGTTGTTGCACGAATGGTTCGGCTCGACCGGGAAGAACCACGCTCTCGAAATACCAACGTAAAATAGTAACTTAATCTGCTGTGTTTCGTATGATGAGTTTAGTGAACCGGAAACCCTTTTTACTGGAAACAAGGCATTCCATCACAGTCCTCACGGGTGACAACGCATCTACATTTTGATTCGTAATCGTGGATAGATGTAGATGTCTTAGGGCCACAGCAACCACTTACCATCAGGTGGACTATGTGCTCGTTTGTCACCCTGTCCTATAAAAAAACCATATATCATGATAATTTAATGATGGTTTGATGCTACTTGTTTGAAATATAGCTCTTTATTGAATACAGGTTTTGCAGGACTATTTTTACAACATGAGAACAAAGGAGAAAGAATTAAATCAAATTTTGCGGAACTACGTATTATTATTGAGTAATGACGGTTATTAAAAAGCTTTTAATAGCTCGACTTATATCTAAGTATAAGTGTGTATGTACATGTATATATGTAATTTAGTTGAATTTTTAATTTGGTTTAAACCAACTTCTGTACGTCTTAATCAAATATAAAATTTTGTAAAAGTATTAGGAACAATAATTTCAGGACTGTGACCTACTTATCACCAGCATCAACACGGCTAATCAATGGATCATCAGAAGTATAAGTTCTTTTAGTATGTGTTCTGTACGAATATTGGTAAATATTTACTTATTGTAACTGTGTAAACTTGAACTTACCAAACAAACTTGTAAGCCACATCGCCTTGAAGAAGAATAGATATGATCCGTACACTCCTCCTAAGTGTAATAGTGTGAAGAGTATGACGTTCCTCCATACAATCTCCCATTTTCTCTTTTCCGCGCTAGGAGGCACATGAGTGACAGTTTTGTCTGCATCAGTTTCGAATAGTGCCCAGGATACAGCTTGTTGTCCTTGGGGTGGCATCTCGTTCTTAAATAAAACAAAAAAGTTAAAATTAAAGTTACAGCCTATATACGTCCCACAGCTGGGCACAGGCCTCCTCTCATTTCTGAGAGGGTTATAGGGCAAAGAATAGTCCGCCGCACTGCCCCAATGCGTGTTAGCGAACTTCACATGTCTTCTAAATATTTTTTTTTCTTATTTCTCAGATATGCCGGTTTCCTCACGATGTTTCCTTCACCGCCGAGCACGTGGTAAAGCAGCACTTAAAATTGCAATTAACAATTTCATTGCTGTCTGCGAGGATCGAACCCGTTGTGCTCGCGTATTGTGAAATTTACAGCGAGCGCTAACCATCTGGGCTAACACGATCATATAAAACAAAATATGTTTATATTTATAATTAATTATTAATAATTTATATTATATAAGTAGTTAAAATTAAATTTAGTGTAATGAAATGTTACTGTGAGAGATAAAAAACATTTTAAATATTAAGTGTGAGTAAATTAAAATTAAAGAAATGTATAAGTTTTTAACAGCTGGAAATAAATTAAGAATTGTAATAATCTGTGAACAGTCTCTACATTGTATAAAACAAAATACCCCCCCTCCCCCCGCCGTCTGTATCCTTAGATCTTTTAAACTGTGCAACGGATTGCAATTCGGTTTTTATCAATTGACAGAATGATTCAAGAGAAATGTTTATATGTATAACACATATATAAATTGTCGAGATCTAAAAAACAGTCGTGCAAAGCCAGGGTGGATCGCTAGTATCATTTAAAAATCAGTGCTACGAAGCTAACCCTCTAATACATATGTAAATATAAACCGATAATAACGATCACGTTGATCGATGTCTGATTGTTGATAATAATACCCACACTTATAATAGTATATGAAAGTCGCAACTCACGTACAACCTACTACTAGATATAGGACTCTTGAGCAGTCATAGGAACGTAACAACGTTTTTGGAAGAGTAGAGTTTGGCGCTCACAAAATAATAAGCACTTTTATGTTGCGACAACCCCGAACGTCATTTGTATCCGAACTCGGCCTACTTTTTAGATTGTAGTAGGAAGTGTCATATTTAAAAAAGTTTTATCCCTGAAGTTTTATCTAAACGTTTCTAAATTAAAATCAGAAAACTATAAACTATTGATAGTTGGTGTCAACATTTTATTCGTAAATTTTAAAATTAAAATAGATAATGGTGAAACGTAAACGCGAAAAAACATGTTAAATAGATGACATTCAAGATTTTTTCCCATTTACATTTCACTGTTATCTATTTTAAAATTTAAGAATAGAACTATGATTAAAATTTATAAACGTCTAATAATGTACCGTGCAATTTCGGTCTAAGAACACCCACTATCTCATATCATCCCGTTGGTGTCGTAAGAGGAAACAAAAATAAACAAACCAGAAGGTTTGCAGTGTCTTCCTAATAATGGCATAAAATTAATAAAACTTGGCAACTGGGGTAAATATCCTCCTTGTGAGATAATCTATGGGGGAAGCCTATGATCAGTAGTGGATTCTAATAGACTAACGGAAACAGTAAATGTTTAACGATCTGCTTTGGTGCTTAATTTCGAGATCCTAGGTAACTAAAACTAATTGCTCCAAGACTAATTGTTTATACATGTGCAATGTTATGTACTTAAAATGCATCTACAATGCAGGTGGAATTCTAATCATTTGTATCACCTACGGAGATGACCTTGGATCTGATTTTAAAATCTGAAACTTTTTAGTTGCATGTTTTTAAATAATCTGTATGCAATAAAACAAGGAGCAGAAATAACATTCTAGACAGCCTCTCCGTGAAACCGTGGTAACTCAAGAGATATGCACTCGCTTTGAAGTTGAAGAAGTGCACAGCAGCAACCCGCGATTCCTTTTCCGACATTCCTTGCCTCTCAAAAATGAAGAGGACTGCTCATATATCGGCTGTGATTTTAGTTTACATACGTTTCCTCGTATTTTAAGCACGATTGGATAAACATAAGAAAATAAAAAAATATAATTTGTAATGGAGCAGAAGTCCGTACATTATTAGAATTGTCTGCTCCTTTCTTAGCTTCTGGGTTTTATAGAGTAAAATAATTGAGATTTTTTTCCCCAGTGGTTTTACCAGTTAGGTCTACTTGATGAGAAAATTCCCAGTAATGTTACTTGTGAGACTATCCGGTAAGACTTTACGTGGTAGAGCCACGCTGTAGTTATATTATAGTTGTAGCTCGAATAGGTCAGCTCTACCGGGGTAGGACCACGCTCTCACAGAATACTAACGTAAAATAGCAGCTTCAGGCTGCTGTGTTTCGTATGGTGAGTGTTGAGAACCGGTGACCCTTTTTACTGGAAATGAGACATTTCATCTTAGTGCTCACGGGTGATAACGCATTTGCATTTTGATCCTTAATCGATGATAAATGTAGTTTTCTATGGGCCACAGAAGCCACTTACCATCAGGTAGACAGTGTGCTCGTTTGTCGCCCTATTCTATAAAAAGACTATTGGGAATGTACTATGCCATGAATATTCAATTATTCTTACCAGACTGCGTGGAATACATAACGGGGTATTCCCATATTCATGTTTTACATATTTATGTAGATGTGCTTACGTGTACTTATAATGACGTTATAATACAACTATGAATAAAACGATGTGAAGTGATTATTAAATGTACGTAAATGAACTTATAATTATGGGTGATTCCTTTTATCAGTCCTTCATTAAGTATCATTTTACTTATAATTATGTTACTTATTACTTGAGATAATGTTTGCTTATAATATACAATAATTATGTTACACTTTAATTCAATTCAATAAAATACCCATCATAAAATCACGTGTAAAGAATAAAAATGCTAACCAAACTTTATAAAATCTAAATTTCAATACAGATTATGAAACAATTTTGCAAACCCCGTTTCAAGAAATAAATTATAAAGTACTGTAGTGCAATAAGTAAAAAAGCTATTGACGCTAGAACTTTCTACTAACCAAGGCGTGTAGATCTACCAGCACGGCAGACTTGCCTGTGATGGCTGATGCCCAGCTGATTTGACGGTCATCCGCGTTGGTAGGACTGCACCCAAAGAAGAGTTAACTCGGCATAAACACCATATTTGGACTGAGGTGGTTAACGAATGGCAGAAGAGATGGATGAATGAGAACAAAGGGCGCGAGTTCTTTTCCGAAGAGACGGGATGGCTCAAGTCTACCTGGATTGTACCGGACTTTAAAATCTCCCATATTCTCGGAGGTCAAGATTTAGAAAGAGTCACACACATCGTATGAGAAAAAGATAAGAGTGCAATGAGACTGTGGGAGATGTGCATCAAATCTTGTGAGAAATATAATCTATACGAAGACATGAGAGTGACTATTATGAAAGGATTAATAGATAAGAGCGGGATGGGGTTAGTAGGGAGAAATTTTGTGGGTGATGGATGAGGTGGGTTGGACGTAGGCTTATTAGTGTTGTCCACTCCAGAAGGGAGAATGCAAAGTTAAACGGAACGATGAGTAGACAGAAAAACGGGGAGTCAAGGAAATGCGCGCGGAAATCTGGCGAGATCACCTGAGTGTAGGTTGTTGGACGAACTTCAGCATTTTCTACCGACAGAAGACAAATCTTTATACGTGGTAATTACACTAAGCCATTGTTAATTTCAGAACCAGGTTTTTGTTTAACTTAAGTAGTTTTATTACCCAATTTCTGATCATTCACCGGAATGGTTCATATGGAAAAACAGCGTTTTTACATACAAAAATAAGAATTAATTAGGATTAATTATTTCTGTTATTATTACATCCCTTCACTAGTCCACTGCTAAATATAGGCCTTCCTGCATCCATCGACTTCCTGCATGTTTTACCAGGTTGTCACCCCATCTAGTGAAAGGTCGCCCTACACTTCACCTACCGGTACGAGGCTGCCAATCGAGAAACTCTTTTCCTCATAGGTTGTCGATTATTCGAGCTATATGGCGGGCCATTACCACTTCAGCTTACTAATTCGTGGGGCTATGTCAATCACTCTGGTTCTGCTGCGGATATTTTCACTTCTAAAATTATCGCGAAGAGAAACCCCGAGCATAGCCTTCCCCATAGCTCGCTGAGTGGAGTTTCCTCGTACGACTAGCAGTGAAGGACTATGTTTCAGATCCGTATGCCATCACTAGCCACATGCACTCATCTCATTTTCAAGTTTTGGAGTATGCTTGACGAGAAGATGTGTCGTAATTTCCCCGAATATTACCCTTCCGAGTCGAGTCCGTCGGTTGACCTCTCAGTTGAATATGAACTAACCGAGACAGACCATTTGTCCCAGGTAAACAACTACTACCTACTCGTCAACAACTTCGAGCTTAGTGCTCCCAACAACTACCGGCATAAGCGTAACATGGACGTTACACATGTCATCTTTGTTTTTTTTTTCATGTTAATTTTAAGACCTACCCGTTAGGAGGCACTATTGAGGTCAATAAGCATAGTGCTTAGGTCCTCAAGCAATTCTTTCATAGACATACATACATAAACACTCACGCCTGTCACCCAGAGGGGTAGGCAGAGACTACAGACTTCCATTTGGCACGATACTAACACACCTCTCTTGCCTCCTTCACATCCATACACCTACGCATACATGCTCGTCGGTTAAGGGTATTCCTAATTTGGCCCGTTTTCAATAAATCGCCAATTTGGTCGATACATTTTCGCTTAGGACGTCCCTTTCCGACTCTGCCATTCACTTCTGCACCATAAATTTTCTTTGTCATTCTTTCCTCATTCATTCTTTCCACATGACCAAACCACCGAAGCATTCCTTTCTTAATCCTGGTCACAACATCATCTTGCAAACCACACTCTTCTTTTATTACACAATTTCTTACCCTGTCATTCAGATTCAGCCCTAACATACTCCTTAATGACCGCATTTCTACTGCGTTTATTCTACTTTCGTGCTTCTTCTGCCACACCCAACTTTCACTGCCATAC